TATCAGGAGTAGATAATAGGGAACTACTTATTATCTACTCCTGATATGTATATATATATGTTCATGCAGAGCGCTGTGTAATAATATTATATATGATCAAGAGCGTATTAAGAAGGCTCTTCAATAATAAGGCCTTGCTAATAATATGCTCTTGATTATATGTATGTGTATTATATGTTGCGCTCTGCTGTAATGTATGTAATCTGTTTCTGATTTTCTTATTTCATCATAGATTTGATTATTTTGCTTCAGGTTGAAGATGGAGCCGTTGATCTAGATGAAACATTACTTAGCTACCTTCGAAACAAGCGTATCCAAATTAAAACGATGGAGGGCCTACTGAGGCTGATAGGGTCTATGTCCCCCAGGGTACTATCGGAGGGTACCTTGGGTACGGTTCGATATATCGAAAAGTACCTCGGGGTACTATACGATATGTCGCTGCGTACCCTGCATTGTCCCACCGTACCCTGACTTTCAGATAACTGATCATGAAAATCATGCAGAACCATATATACATATATGGTTTTGCAGAAAAATGATAATTTTTAGTGGATGACAACATTTTACGCTTCTCCCCTATACTGGTGGGTGAGGTATTACCACCGCAAGGTATTGCCACCGTCACGTGCATATTGATTTTCTTATATTTGATGTCAATATCAAACCATTTTTATTTATGATAATGATAGTATCAGGAGTAAGATAATATAGGATATCTTATCTTATCTTATCTTATCTTATCTTATCTTATCTTATCTTATCTTATCTTATCTTATCTTATCTGATCTTATCTTATCTTATCTTATCCTATATTATCTTACTCCTGATAGTATTACAATGATAACATTAAACTTCGAGACTACTAGCTTTTATTAATTTTTTAAAATTATTCATATTAATTGATGATTCATCAATTAATCTCAATATTTTTGTTGTTTCACAGACTGTGTGTGTGAAAGTCAGGGTACGCAGGGACTACAGAGCCGGGAGGGGAAGGAGCGGGAGTAGGGAGGCCAGTGGGCGGGAGGATTTATATACGCGTGAAAGAGAGAGAGAAAGAGAGAGAGAGAGAGAGAGAGAGAGAGAGAGAGAGAGAGA